GAAATATATTTATGTTTGTGGTTGTAATGTGACAAAATATGGAAAAGTTCAAGGGGTATGAATACTTTTGCAAACCACTGTAGTTGGGCTCACCTTAACGCAACAGCATGGGCCCCGGAACCGATCTCCTCGAGAGGGGCTAGACTTTATCCTTCTCTGGGAGTTGCCCATGGTGAGAGGTGCCAAGCTGGTGTGGGTCTACTTTTGGCCCTCGACTTGGTGCCTGTGTGTTGGACTTTACCCCGATAGATAAGAGGGTAGCTTCCCCGCACATTTGGGTCGGGCGAAGGGTTCTGACGGTCACTTGTGCTTATGCTTTAAAGAGTACCCAGCAYTCTTGGAGTCCTTAGCGGGGCTTCTGGAAGGTGCTCCGGCTGGGGATTCCTTCATTCTGCTGGAGAACTTCAATGCCCACGTGGGTAATGACAGTGTGACCTGGAGAGGYGTGATTGGGAGGAACGGCCTCTCCGATCAGAACCCGAGCGGTGTTCTGTTGTTGGACTTCTGTGCTAGTCACAGTTTGTCCATCACAAACRCCATGTTCCAACATAAGGGTGCCCATAAGTGCACGTGGCACCAGGACACCCTAGGTCGCAGATTGATGATTGACTTTGTAGTCGTGTCATCTGATCTGCAGCCGCATGTTTTGGACACTTGGGTGAAGAGAGGAGTTGAGCTGTCAACTGATCACCACCTGGTAGTGAGTTGGATCAGATGGTGGGGGAAGATGCCAGACAGACCCGATAGACCCAAGTGTGTTGTGAGGGTTTGCTGGGAATGCCTGGTGGAGGAACCCGTCAGACAGATCTTCAACTCACACCTCCAGAACTTCGACCACATCCCAGCTGAGGTGGGGGTCATAAGAGTCCGAGTGGGCCATGTTCCATGCCTCAATTGTTGGAGCAGTTGCCTTGAGCTGTGGCTACAAGTTTGTCAGTGCTTCTTGAGGTGGCCATCCTCAAACTCGGTGGTGGACACCCTGGGTAAGGGAGGCTGTTAAGCTGAAGGAGGAGTCCTATCTGACCTTSTTGGCTGGTAGGACTCCAGAGGCAGCTCAGGAGTATCGGCAGGCCAAGGGGGCCGCAGCCCTGGCCGTTGCTGAGGCAAAAGCTCAGATGTGGGAGGAGTTTGGTGAGGCTTTGGACAAAGACTCTTGATTGGCTCCAAGGAGATTCCGGCAAACCATCCGGCGGCTGACGAGGGGGAAGCAGCACTTTACTAACACTGTGCTCAGTGAAGGTGGGGTGCTGTTGACCTCAACCAGTGATGTCGTCGGGAGGTGGAAGGAATATTYCTTTGGCTTTCTCAATCCCACCGGCACATCTTCTATGGAGGAAGCAGAGTCTGATGACTTTGGGGCTGSTCTGTCCATAACTGGAACTGAGGTTGCTGAGGTAGTTAAAAAGCTCCATGGTGGCAAGGCTCCAGAGATGGATGAGATCAGCCCTGATTTCCTCAAGGCATTGGATGTTGTGGGGCTGTCCTAGTTGACATGCCTTTGCAACATTGCGTGGACATMGGGGGCAGTGCCACAGCATTGGCAGACTGGGGTGGTGGTTCCTCTCTTTAAAAAGGCTGACTGGAGGGTGTGCGCCAATTACAGGGACATCATTCTCCTTAGCCTTCCTGTAAGGTCTTTTCAGGGGTACTGGAGAAGAGCGTCTGATCGACAGTCAAACCTCAGATGCTGGAGGAACAATGGGGGTTCTGTCCTGGCCGTGGAACACTGGACCAACTCTTTACTCTCACTAGGGTACTTGAGGGGTCATGGGAGTTTGCTAATCCAGTCTACTTGTGTTTTGTGGACTTGGAGAAGGCATTCGGCCATGCTCCTCATGGTACACTGTGCTACGTGAGTATGGGATTGTGGGCCCGTTGTTACGGGTCATTCAATCTCTATACAAGCGGTGCGAGAGTTTGGTTTGCATTCAACAGTCGGACCCCTTCAGAGTGGGAGTTGGACTCCGTCAGGGCTGCCCGTTGTCATCGATTCTGTTCATATCTTACATGGACAGAATTTCATGGTGCAGCCAGGGGGCAGAGGGAGTCCGGTTCGGTGGCCTCAGGATTTCATCTCTGCTGTTTGCAGATGATGTGGTTCTGTTGGCGTCATCGCACCAGGATCTTCAGCTCTCACTCTGGAGCGGTTCGCAGCAGAGTATGAAGCAGCTAGGATGAGGATCAGCACCACCAAATCTGAATCCATTGTCCTCAGTCGGAAAAGGGTGAATTGCTCCGTGCTTGGGGTGAAGTTCTGCCTCAAGTGGATGAGTTCAAGTATCTTGGGGTGTTGTTCACAAGTGAGGGAAGAAAGGAGCGTGAGATTGATAGATGGATCGGTGCAGCTTCTGCTGTTTTGCGGACTCTGTACCGGTCTGTTGTGGCGAAGGGGGAGCTGAGTTGTAAGAAGAAGCTCTGTTTATCGATCAGTCTACGTTCCTACCCTCACCTATGGTCACGAGCTTTGGGTAGTGACTGAAAGAATAAGATCGTGGATAAAAGCGGTCAAAATGAGTTTTCTCTGCAGGGTAGCTGGACTCTCCCTTAGAGATAGGATAGGGTAAGAAGTTCAGTGTAGAGCCGCTGCTCCTCCGTATTGAGAAGAGCCAGTTGAGGTGTTTTGGGCATCTAGTAATGATGCCTCCTGGACGTCTCCCTAGGGAGGTGCTTCAGGCATGTCCAACTGGGAGAAGACCCCGAGGAAGATCCAGGACAAGCTGGAGAGACCATGTCTCTCAGCTGGCCTGGGAACGCCTTGGAGTACTCCCAGAAGAGTTGGAAGAGGTGGCTGGAGAAAGAGAGGTCTGGGCTTCCCTGCTCAAGCTGCTGCCCCCGCGATCCGACTTTAGTAAAGCGGAAAATAATGGATGGATGGATGGATGGATGGATGGATGGATGGATGGGCTCCACTGAGTCCATTGAGAATCTTTGGGATGTGCTGGAGAAGGTCAGACTCTTCAGCATCAATGCAAGATCTTGGTGAAAAATTAATGCAACACTGGATGAAATAAATCTGGTGATGTTGTAGAAGCTTATCCAAAAAATGCCACAGAGAATGTGTGCCGTAATCAAAGCTAAAGGTGGTCCAACCAAATATTAGTGTATAACATTTTTTTTGGCCAGGCAGTGTAACTCCAATGAAGAACTTGTAAAGATTTTTAAAAATACATTTTAAAATATAAAGATTACRATTTCTAAATGTGGCCAATGAATCTGGAATGAATGGAAAACATTAAAACATTAAAACATTTTTTGTCTTGACAAGACTTGAAACAAGACACAGAACCTCCCCTGCAGGACATTGTGTTGACTTCCATTCATTTTTGTAACTGCATTAATGCCTAACCCAAACATTTTCCCTAACCTGAACCAAAACTTAATTTACACCATGCCTCTAAATCTAACTAGTGGAGTGCAGTAAAACTGCAAAAAAAGTGAGAACCTGGAAAATGTCCTCACTTTATTAGTTAAATCTTATTATGGTCCTCATTCTGTAGCAGAAACACGTACACACAYACTGAGTGCTCGTACCTATGAGGGTGGAGTTACCCATGAGTGTCTCCAGCTCTGTGACAGGCAGGACAGGTTTGACAGGCTGGTTTAAATCATTCAGAGGTTTGGCGCTTTCAAAGCCGTTCACGTTGTTGGGCTGACCAGGGTCCTTCAGAGACTCCGGAGCCTCCAGATTAGGAGCTATGAATGAGGATGGAAGGCCCTCTACACACCAAGAGGAAGAGAAGAAGTAGTGTTACATATACAGATKAAAAGTGATGCACATGTTGAACATTATGTGCTCAAATATAACTTTACTTAAATCGAGAAACGTTTTGGAGAACTCTTCTACAGCGTGCACCAACAGGTAAAAGGTGGAAGAAGGATGTGCTCAAGGAGTTTATATAGAACAGCTGGAGTGCTCAGAAACCATGTGACCGTGTGATCGGCTGGTGAAKCAAACGGCTAACGCAAAACGCTCAAGAGTTTGGATTTACCATTACTGTACATGTTGGCAACAGAGCAGAAAAAAAGGACTGACGATGTAGAAATCATAAAAACTATTAATAACAATATTAACCCAATTATTATTAATATTTTACAGTTTATATAATCTATTTAATGTTTTAAATAATGCCAGAAAAGCTGTTTGTGTTATGGATTTGAAGACATTTATTTAGTCATTTAGAAACTGATTTTAGAAGAACCACACCATATTCATAGTTTTCCTTTTTAAGTATTGATTCTTATAATCTATTGTTTGACTATTGTTAAGTCTTGATTAAAATAGGTTTAGATACATGCCTGAAACATCATGACACACATAATAAAACCGTTTATAATAAACAGTAGGAGAGCATTGCTGTTCAGAGTGTCTGCGATTCAGCCGTAAGCCTGTAGTGGTCGTACCAGGCACTGAAGACCCGTGTATTTATGGACCGGGACTTCCGGTTTGCAGGCAGCGCTGGTTTCATGACTGAACAGACAGCATTAAACCACCATTCACTCCAGTAACTGGTGTTGTATGGTTCTCTTCTCTTCACATTTTAATCTATTCAGTATTTATGTGGTTTCGTCATGATTTCAGTAAACGAACACTAAATTTTCTTACAGTTTTATTAAAAGAAGAGAAGCAGGAAAACGTTTCATTTCACAACTCAAGTCAGCAGATTTGATCTTATTTAGCTCAATGTGATCTGAGCAGAACAT